ATTTTCTAGTTGAACGAATTTTCATTTAATATAATTTCTATTTAACAGAATTTTTATTTTGTAAAATTGTCATAAAACAAAATTTTAACTTAACATAATTTTAACCTGACTGAATTCACCTTAAACATAATTTCTATTGGACAAAACTTTTATTTAAACGAATTTGCAATAAAGATATTTTTTATTTAAATGAATTATTTTTTAGCTGAATTTTTTTTTAATAGAATTTTTACTTAGTCGAATTTTTAAATAGTAGAATTTTCATTTCATCGAAACTTTATATGTCCGAAGTTTCATTCGTACGAATTGTCATTTGAGAGAATTATCCAAATCAACGAATTTTCATTTGACCGAAATTCGAAAATGTCCGAACAAATATCCAACAGTAAAGTTTTGGCGGGAATTCTTCAAAATTAACCAATCAAAAATATTCAAGAAAATTGTGATTGATTAATTTTGAAAATTCCCGCCCAAAACTTTTCTCTCGATTATTTGTTCGATCATTTGCAAATTTCGGTCAAATGAAAATTCGGTGTTTTTAAATTTCAATCAAATAACAATTCGTGCAAATAAAAATTCTGGCATTTAAAAATTCGGCTCAATAAAAATTCTGTCAAATGAGAATTGTGTTAAATGGAAATTTTTGTTAAATTGGAATTGTTTTAAATAAAAATTTAGTTAAATAAAAGTTCAGTCAAATAAAAATGAAAATTCTGTCAACTAGAAAATCTGTTTTATAAAAGTTCAACTAAATAAAAGATTATGAATTTTAAAAATTCGTAAATATATGAAAATTCAATTCAATATAAATTCTACTTTATTAAATTGGGTAACCTAAAAATTCGAGCTTATTATTTCAGAAATTCCAACAAATTTAGGTATTTTTAAGGAATTTCGTTCGTCCCATTTATTAATAGTTGAAATAACCAAAAGTTCGAATTGTTAAAAGTTTCGAATTGTCAGAAAATTGAATTAGGTATAAAAAGTTCGAATTATCAAAAGATAGATTAGTCAAAAATTAATTTCTAAAAATTCAAATCATTTGGTGATACGGATTTCTATATATTCGATCTTTTTATAATTTGAATTTTTTAAAAATTCAGTAAATTATTGAGATTGAAATTTTTAATAATTTTGTCTTTTTGATAATTCGAACTTTTGAAAATTCGAACTTTTAATAATTTAAATTTCTAAAAATTCGATTTTCAGATTATTCGAATTTTTCAAACAATTCAATAAAATGTTTATTCAATTTTATGCAATTCGATCTTTTGAGAAATTAGACCAAAATAAAGTGACTCGTATTTTTAATTAATTTGTCGAATTCACTCACCGAAACGACGATCGATAGGTTTATTAAAATTTAAAGTTATACAGAGGTTGATAACAACCCTAAAAATAAATGTTATATGTATTAAAATTTAAATTGGTAAAATTTGTTTGAACCCTACCTGAATCTATATAATATATACTATTTATTTGTATACGAATTCCCGTCTCTTTCATTCTAAAATTTTGTCACGAAAAGATTTGCCATAAAATGGACCAGTAAAATACTGTCTGTCTCGGATTCAATAAGTGCTCGTTTTATTGAAAGTTTATTTTGGGAAGCGAGAGAGTCTTAAAGAAACGTTTCAGAATGTTTCTATATATATAGAGAGAGAGGACATTCTTTATCAACTGTTTCAGCTGGAAAATGAAAAATTGTCCAATTGATATTGAAACTATGGTTTATTGTTCTTCTATAGATGACTAAAAGATTAGTTTGAAATTTTTCCATTCAATCAAAAATTATTTTTTAGGTGACTTGAAAAATCTATTTTAAAAATTTTTTATTTCGAAATTACATTTTTCTTCAATTCTTGTTTGATATTCTTTTTTTTAAATATTCTTAAAATTTATTGAAAATTTTACTGTATGTATTCATTAATTGAAATGAAAATTTTAGACTTTATAAAAAATTTGAATTATTGATTTAAAAATTTTAATATACGATTATCATTGTTCAAAATTTTAATCCAAAAAACGTTTTTTAATTCAGCATTAAAAAATGTTTTAAAATACTGTTTTATTCAAGAAAATCGATTTTAAAAATTATGAATTATTCGTATTTAAATTTAAACCGAAATAAATTCCATATTCCATATTATTACAAAAGTTACTCCAATTTTTAGCATACAATTAGTGGATCTCAGAAGGATATAAATATAATAAAACATTTCATCAAAATTTCAAGAAAATCAATGCTGAAAATTAAGTTATTGAGGTAGAAACCAAATATCCTGTTATTTGGTATCCGAAATTTTTTATTGAAAAATGTAGGTATTAATATAGAACAAAATATTTTCAAAAATTTCGATAACCAATTGGTAAAATTTCATTTTTCAGCTGCAATAATTGACTGTTTGGAATTTACGCACAAAATATGAAAAATATTTCACTTTGACTCGCGCTCAATTAAAATTTCTATTATAATTTTTTAAAACCGCGAATGCGCGATCATTTTTCTTCGGATTTAGTTAAAAAATCTTGTTTCTTTGGAATCGTATACAAAAAAGACTAAAACTGTTAAATATTAATAAACTAAACTTTTATCAGAAACTAAACTAAAAATCAATAGTTCTTAATTCCTTACGGACTTTTTTGCGATGTTATATACTGTTTTTAAGCTTATCACTGGAAAATTTCTATACATAGAAATTGTTACGTAAGAAGGATTATTATATTATATTACTAAATCATTTCAAAGTTTTTGAAATTCGTGCAAAAAGTATTAAAGCTCCGCAAATTGGTCTGCATTTGTATTCAAGTACATATTATTATTATTATTATTATATTTATTTTATTGCTTAATTAATTAAACCCTTAAATTGATCGATCAATCATTACAGCGATATTAATTATTATTATTATTATTATTATCGCTTATTTAATTAATTTAATTAATTAGGTTGTTATCAATATTAATGATATTAAATTTGTTAATAAATTATTAATCTTTAACTTAATAATAACTTTTTAATTATTATTTTGAGTTGTTTAATTTTTCAAACTTATTATAAACTTAATTATTACTTTTATTATTATTTTAAGTTATTAATTTTTCAACTTATTAATTAATTATATTTTTTATTTTATCAAAATTTTCTCGTGCGAAATTACGGGATATTGAAAGAATGAATGTGACAAATTGATATGATAGGTGATTATTGTGAATGTTGTGTGCATCATTGTTATATTATAAGAGTACGATTAAGTTTATATATTGATAAATGGGATTTTAATGATATGTGTGAATGTTAGTGTGTGCTAGCGAACAAGTGATTTCGATGTATTTAAAATGAAAATTTTTCTGAAAGATGATTTTATTCGCTTTCATTCAAATTTATTAACCATCTCTTTCTTTCACTCTTTCTGGTCTCTTAATTAAAATTCAAATTACCCATTTTGATTGACGAAGTAATATATATATGAAAGACTAGGATTCTAAAATGAATTGTATGAAAGAGTAAAAAATTGGACTAGTAATCTTAATGCTTTGAATTCAATAATTCATAATTAATTTCACATTTTGTTTATATCAAAACATGCGCACGTATTTTCAAATTGTGTATTCGTGTTTACATTAGTTGAAATTAGTGTTCACTTGCCTCAAGGGGGATGCTGTTAAATCCTATTACTTCGTCGATCACGCAGCTACAACCAAGTGGAAAGTACATTAAATGCTACCTCAAAAGCGTCTTAATTTGCAAAGCACCATCTAAATTTTAATTTCTAGCGTACTTATTATAAATATTGTTATATACGAGTATACGCAATGAGCTTTTGTTAATTATATCATTACACTAGAATATTATAGAAGTTTCGCCTCATTTTGGTTACAAATTGTCATATATTGATGATGATGATCGTTGTTCAACATTAGGTTACTTCAAAAAAAATTTTTACTCTTATCCAAAAAAAATCTGGTGTTCGGATTAAAATTGACTAGTATTTTGCATTTGACGTTGATATCGTTAGACGGCATCTGGTTTTTATATATATATGTTCACATTTTTAACATATATTGTATATATATAATTTACGCTCGCTCTTGATATATTGACTCTTTTTGAATATATGACTCTTTGCACAACACTTTTTTTTCTTTTTGGTTTATAATATATTCGAGTTTAAAGAAACTTGAACATTAAATAGAATTGTGACGTGCCACGAGAAAAGATGTTGCAAACATTTCAAATAAGTCAACTTATCGTCGTCTGATTATCTATAGATACGAATTTTTTTCCTCGTGAATCTTCGGATAGCTTCGCTTGTAGGGAGTGAGAAAGAAGTACGGGGAGGAAAAACGAAAGGCAAAACCGAAGATTCACGAAGAAAACAAAGTTCAAGGTCACTAAAAGTCAATGTCTTACGTAGGAAGCCAGTAAGAAGTGAAGAATTAAGAATTTTAAATTCTTCTGAATTCCGTTTCCATTTTAAAATTTTATGCAAAAAAAAATTAACAGTTTGAAGATTTGAAAAACTGCGAATTAATGCTAAAACGTGATTGCAAAACTAGAAACAGAAAAGTAAATGACAGTCTGTAGGAGGTTCATTACGTCCAGTCGCCGCCAGATGGCAGAAGTGTACAGGAAGCGCGCAACTATCATTATATTACTTTCTTTTTTCCAATTTGCTATCCCGTTTTTGCATAAAAAACACACCTTCGGATTTTAGAAATTTCTAATATAAAGATCCTTGGCCGGTTTTAAAAAAAGTCATAATTTATTATTTTCTATGAAAGGGAAGAATTTTCAATCCCTTCTAATTTTTTCGCTTCATACTGGAAGAAGTAGTTTCAATCTTATTTTTTGTTGCCTTTTGTCGTGAAGCATCACAAAGACAATAATTGGAAACAATTGAAAAATAAATGGAAATACAAATTACTTAACCCATCCACCAAATCTCGAATATACTTTACAAAAGGAATCGTGTCCTCACTTAATCATGATACTCACTGCCGTGGGACCTTGTGTAAGGGCAGCAGCTTCCTTAGAGGCGTCTTCGACCTCCTTGAGTTTTTCTTCAGCCTTCCTCTCCTTGAGTGCCTTGAGCAGCTTCCATTTGGAACCAGGTGGACCAGGACTGATTTGCCCCTCCTTCAGTGTTGTATCCGAACTGCCGCATGACGATGAGTCAATTTTGATTTTGGGAAGACTCAGCGTGGCCGTGGTACCAGTTTCAGCGCTACCGGCACCATCTCGATCGCCTTCAAGGACAGTGCTTTCAGAATCCCAACCACCAGGGATACTGACTGAAACTTCGCTAGGTGGTACACTTACGCTACCTTCACGCGACAGCGAATCGGAGCCCTGCAGATGCTTCTCACTGTGTCGTAGTGTTGAACCACTGGAACTTCTACGTGACTGATGTTCATCAAGATCCTTGTGCAGCTCATCCTCTTCCTCATCCATTGAATGAACTGGACTATCGGGTCCCGATGTTTCACCAGAAGAACCCTCCTCCATTGGTATTGTTTTCTTATCCTTTTTTGCCGCCTCCTCATGTGCCCAGGTATGATAATCGGTGACACGGGCAAAAACCGATTCAATACTTTCGATTGGTTTCTTTTTTGGAAATGGTTTACCATCACGATGACGTTCACCATTTTCAAGTCGTCGATCACGTCCCACAATTGTTCCATTCATTTTAATTGTTTGCGTCTCCTCTTTCATTAAATCACGCTTCTCTTCTGCTTCTTCCTCTATTTCTTTGGGTTTTGCTTTAAGTTTCAATTCACGAAGTACAAATGACATTCGTTCTTTAACTTCCTCGCCTGGTTGGAAGGGTTCATTTTCCTCTGGTACCTCAACGAGAACTTGACCCATATCAATTTCAACTTGTGTCTGCCTCTCGAGTTCTTCGAGTTTTCTCAATTCATAACAATACCATTCGTCCTCGGAATCAATTGAATCTTCGGTACTTTGACGTCGTGACGAGACACGCGATGTACTACGATACGAATGTGTACTTCTATTGTCCTCATCACCTTCGCCACTTCGCGAACCAGCCCAAGGGATTTCCAATGATTGTTGATGTCTGGGTAAAAAACGAGTGCAGCCAATCGTTGGACCGTAACCTCTTGTACTGGACGTTGATGGACTACCTTCTGAAGGTGGAGCCTCCTCGGAAATACTGGTAACTAATTCTGGACCTTTGGTACCACTGGATTTTTCACTTTTTTCTGAAACGTCTTCTTGATATTCGAAACTGGCGTCAATTGACAATTGATTGCCTTCGTCGGATTTTTTATCAATACTGCCATCGTCATTGCTTCCCTGTTCATCGGACACTGTTGACGATTGTCTTTGTCGATATTTTCCTAAAGCGCGAGAAACAGCAAATTCCATACTGGCACCACCCATCAGTGGTGGTAGTTTAGGAGCTTTTTCATTAGGTGCTTCATCCGAGCTACCGGTTGATTTTTTAATATCACCTACAGTTGGAAATATAGTCGAACCTCCTGATCCCGAACCAGTACTTTTGCCAGAAGCTTCTTCCTCGACACCGCATACTTGATCGGAGAGTTCAGTTTCGCTTAATTCGGATTTTCGTTGTTCGTTCTCCTTCTCCTTTAGCCAATTTTCCTCGGCTACTTTTTTTTGTAATTGCTCTTGATGCTGTTGTATTTGTTGTTGTAGCGCCTGCTGTTGTTCCTGCAAACGCTGCTGTTCCTGAAGCAAATATTCCCTTTGCTGTGGTGTCAGTGGCGCTTGCTGATGAATCAATTGTTGTGTTTGTTGATGCATTGGAATTTGTTGTTGACCAAGAATTTGTTGTTGTTGTTGTTGTATTTGCTGCTGATTATGAACTTGTTGAGCGATAATTTGTTGTTGGGGAGATTTTCTCTTCATGCTACTTGACTTGACTTTGGCAAACATTGGTGGCTCTTGATTGGCATCCGACATTACACTATCTTCATCCTCGGATAAACCACTCTGCCTACCGCTGCTCCATTCAGTTTCCGATTGTTCTGGATCGGAGAGTGATTGTGACGATTGATGATTGCGTCGTTTTGCTTTTTGTAATATTCCCGAAACAGTGGAAACTAAATTTTTCTTCTTTTTCCTCGCGCCTCTTCCACGACCTCTGTTTGTCATCATTTCGACTCTTTGCTGTGTTAAGGCATCCTGTTGATCAATGTCCTCACGTCGAACACCACCGGGTAGAGATTGACTACGATGTCTACGTGGTAGATGAAGATCAGGAAGCCAATTGCTCATTGAGCTCATGGCATTTTTAAGTGATGAACCTCGTCGTATTTTTTTGGCATTTTTGTTATTCTCTAATTCATGATCTTTAATGTCCGCGGAAATACTTATGTATCCTGATTGTGAAACAATAACGCTCGATGCGTCATAAAATTCACCTTGTTGTTGGGACGGATCGATTGTTGATTTGGTTTCATTTTCCTGAGTGTAATGATGCTCTCGAGGCCATTGCCGTTGGAAAGCATCGGCATTTTCCGCAGCAGCAAGTCGTTGAGTCATTTGATATTGTTGATATTGTTGTTGATAGGCGTGTGCGTAACTTTGATTTGAATAGGTGTGATGATAGGATTGATAGGCTGGGGGTTGTGGATATCGTCTATCAGTATATGGACTCTGTGAATAGCTTCCCTCTGATGTCATGGATCTGATACTTGAGGAAGTTGAGTCGTGAGGTATGTGGCTTTCTATTGAATTTAGCCAGGAAGACTCGGTTTCAGTTCGTGGAAGATTTGCGCTTGTTGGATAATAGGAAAGTGCGTCAGTGATATTGCCAGTGGGGAACATATTTCTATACATTGCAGCCTTATAACCCTCGTGATGATTGGAAATTGAATCGCCGTACGATAGAGCACGTATTGGTTTCTTTGATGTTAATGTTGTGTCACCATAGTGTGAGGCACTGTAACCATCGTAATTAACAAATTGATCCATTGCGTCCGGATAGTAACCAGTTGATGTGGTTCTTGATCCATATGTACCGGAACCACTGGTATAGACATTGGACATTTGAGTACGATTACTTCCGGCGACGGAATATATTGCTGGTTGCTCTGAACGATAGAGAAAGTCAACTGTACTTTCTGATGGAATATTATCGAAACTAAGTTGGCGATTACGTTTTTTGGGACTTTGACACGTGGTGGAGACACCGGGTGCTGGTGGTGGTACAAAATTGTATTCATCTTGAATTGCTGGTGATTTGACTGATGATAGTGAGGATATATGATTGACAACTGCATTGTATTGACTCGCATTAGTGTTGGCGAAAGCATCTCTACCTTCTGGAGTATCGTACAAAGGTTCCTGAGTGATAACTGAGCTTTTTGCTTCTTGAATAGCAGCTATTGGACTTGCGGTTCTTATTGACTGCGAGGTCTGAGCGAGTTGTGAACGTGGATGGTCTAATGAATAAGATGTCAACATTTTGGTGATCGAACTTTTTGGCGAACTTGGTGATTTATCGAGACTACTCCAGCCACTCATTGACGAGAGACCCGAATCCGATTTAGCTGCTACGATATTATTGTTACACGTTGGTTTTGACAAATGTTTGGGCGATACTCGAGGCGATTTGGGTGAATGTGGAGCACGTGGACTCAGTCGTCCCTGTTCCAGGACCATTTTATCGGACTTTGACAAAAAACCAGGACTTGGAGCACGCTTAATATCAATGTCCTTTTGATCGGAAGTGGAAATAAGAAAATTGTCCGCTGGATCGTGAGGTGCTGGTGGTGGTGGCGAACTTGGCGAAGGACTCGGCGGTGTTCTACTTTCGGGAAAGTCTAAATTTAATCTTGCAGCACTTCCAAAGTATCCGTCTTGTCGTGTTCTGACACTGTGAATACTTTGGGTACTGTGTAAACTGTGTAAACTTCCTGCCGAAGGTGTTGGCGATGCAACTTTATCTGTCGTTGTATTGTAAATTGTAGGCGAAGCACACGTAACGGTAGCAAAACTTTCTACCATTAAGTCGGTCAGTTCTTTGTTTTCGGCATAACCTTTCGCAAAACTACCAACATCAATTGCTAATTGAATAACAGGTTCGGGACTTTTTTCCAGTAATGTTGAAGAATAGGCAAGGCGGGGAGGAGTGTAGTTTGAAGAAATGGAATCCATATTACTTCTCGATAGTCTTGGTGACAATGAACGGGTCGTGAAATCACCATCAGTTGTCAAACCACTGTCTGTACTAACACGAGATATTGATCTGCCGGTTGATCCTGGACTTTTTGAATACATCCAACTGTCCACGTCCGGTTCGGCGTAGATTTTTCTAATTTGCTCCTCTATGCTACTTGCTTCTTCTGCTAATTTAGCCTCAGTCTCTGTGGCATATTGCCGTTTAGGAGAATCCCTTAACATAGATTGGAGTTCAATGATATTTTGTGAGTCCTTTTGAAGTTTTGTCTCCAATCTATCGAGTTCTTTAAGTTTCTCAAGTGCTACTTTATCTAGAGTACTGAGTCTTGACACTTGAGCAAGATCTTGTTCACTTACACATGGCGCATTACCTCGATAAGTCTTATAGTCAGCTGCACTAAAAATTTCACCATCTTCTTCGGCTTCTTCCTCTTCCTCCTCCTCCTCTTCTTCCTCGAGTTCATCTTCCTTCTTAACGGTTATTTGTTGTATTTCCTCTTTTGTCTGCTGTTTAGGCTCTTCGTCCACTTTCTCCTGTACCGATGTTGGTGTCTTCTCAAAAGTCACTGTAGTCTCAGTTTCCTTTTTTCCATTACTGTCCTCAACTTCCTCAGCCTCCTCCCAAATCATTCCCAATTGTGAAGTAGGTCGCGAAACATCACCACAAATAAGATCTTCCCTGTAGGCATTATTTAAACTTCTGTAAAAGGCCTCGTCCGGCATATTTCCCTCCTCCTCTTCCAATGTTTCCAGCGCTTCTAAATTTCTCACATTTCTTTGTATATCATTAACAACAGCCGCAACGGCATTGTCTTGAGCTAAATTTCTCATTCGTGCAAGTTCCTGTTGTGCCAATTTCTCCCTCAATACACTTGTCTCCTCAATACCAATTGCTGCACCAAGACTTTTTTCTATAGCATCCAATTCACTTTCTGATCTCATTGGCTGTTCAACTAATGTTTCTTCAACCGTATTGACTCGTTCATGATTTCCACCGCCACTCGTGTAAAATTCAATCAATTGACTGATGACAGTTTGCTGTTCACAAAGCAATCCCTCCAATTTCTCTAAACGCTGCCACATCTTAATATATTCCTGACTCAATAGGTCAAGTGCCCTCCAGGCATACTTCAACTCAGTCTCAAGTATATTAAGGCGCGTTCCAAGTCTCTCCATGTAATCGCTAATAATGTAATCTATATTCCCATCTGTTGTCATCACATAACTTGCAAGTGCTGGCGAGTGTGATCTTGGACTATCCGTAGTAGGACCACCTAATTTTGTCGAATCCATGTTTGACCTGATACTCAATTCCGTTAACTTAGTTTATTACCTTCTTCTTCTTCTTCTTTTTATTTTTTTTAAGAGTCCACAGTGACTCAGAAAAGTTTTCTTCTGTCTCCTAAACTAATACAATCACTACTCAACTATCTCCTGACGTTTCTTAAGGCGATTCATCGCGAGGGTCTAAAACGTGCTTGGAATCAAAGGGAAATCAAATACGTCCTTGTGGACCGAGGAGGAACATGAATTTCGCTTTGGTATCGAGTGCAGGTACTTTGTGCTTGTCAAAGTTAAAGCAGTTTATGAGTTCGTTGCATTTGAACAGCTCCATATCGAAATCAGCTTCTGACAAGTGGATCTCAAATTTATATTTCTTTATTGTGCTCTTCTTACAACATCTGTCATTCTTCTTCTTCTTCCTCTTCTTTTTCTGCCTTTTTTGCTTCTTCTTTTCTTTCTTCTTTTTGTTTTCTTCTTTCTTTCTTTTTCGTCTTTCTCTTCTTATTTCCTTCACATAATTTCACTTACTATTGCAGCTCCGTATACAAAAAAAAATCATCCAAGTAGTTTTTTAATCAATCACTAATTAAAAAAAACAAATTCTGTTCTTATAAACACTGAACACACTTGTTGAAGTTCCTTCGATTTTTGAAGGATAAAATTCTGTTCCTAGCATATTTTTTTTTTATTTCCGATTTCACGATTGTTCTTAATTTGTCATCGGAAATTAACTTCAACACTCATTTTGAAACAGGGATCTGTAAGCAGGAAAAAATATTTCTATATTAGAAACATCGGGATATTGATTTATCTTTCTGGACAGTTTCCATGTATTTATTTATATTCTACATAAAACCCTCTTTTCTGAGTAAAATGAACTTTGCGTTAGTATGTATATCTATTTTTGTATATATATATACTATTTGAAATGTAATACATGCTTTTATGTTCGGCACTAGTTTTCAACTCCCATTTTTAAAATTGAAAAATGCCAAAGTTTTCAGACACATATTTATTGAAATACTGGTTAGAAAATTTTATCTACTACATCATTTATTTCTCCAATTTTCCTCTACTGACAAATAAAGCTTCATTCAATTTTTGAAATTGAAAAGAGCTTTCTTTTGAAGAAAAAAAGGAGAAATAATTGAATTTATTAAAAATAGATCGTTTTTCAATTTGATGTTAGAAAATAGATTAAAATTCCATTTGTATTTGAAAATAGATCTTTTATTTCAATTTAATTAGAAAAAAGAATAGATCTAATTTCCATTTAGTTATATATATATATATATAGAAAAAAAACTAAATAAAATTAGAAATAAAAAGAATTAATGAAAAAATAAATTTTAGATTAAAAAAAATCGTTGTACAGAAAGAATAAAATGCAGTGAATAGACTTTATATAGGTATACAAAAAGATTGGAAACTTGACGATAATTAAAGAGAACAGAACAAGGTATGTTTGTGAATATTGATTAATCAAACAACAGGCTTTTGAGAAGAGGTAATGGTAATTATATTAACGAAGGTATAACGTAAATAAATAAAACAAATTTAACTTGTGCTTATTTTCATGGAAAATTTTCCTTCTTACAAAAAAGCAATAATATTAATTTTTAGTTACTGTATGATACATACAATCATCAATAAATTATTATTACTGTAAGTAAAAAAATAATTATTATATAGTATATATACCTATTATATTATATTATTACCTATATATTATTATTATATTAATTATTATTATTATTTTTATAAGTAATGGTAATATAAATAGTATTAATAATATAATAATAATAATAATAAAATTTTTCACTTTTAATAAATTTTTCAAAAATTTAAAAAACTAAAATTTTTTTTAAAATGAAAATTCGGTAAATTGTATTTTTATTTATTATTCAATTCTTTATATTATTTCAAAATATAAACAGGCTTATTAGAGTTTCTAATCCTTCGCATAACTGTCTAAAAATAATATAACATACCTAAGTTTTTTTTTTATTCATTTGATAAATAAACTTTTTTTTATTAAATGTTAAAAGTTTATTATGTTTTCATATATAAATAGCTGATAACATTTATATTAAAAATAAAAATAAATCCTTCATTTTACTGATAAAAATAAAATTTCCTTTATCGATTAAGCCACTGTATTTTAATTAAATTGAATTAAAGCGAATTTCATAAAAAGTAAAGATAACAGTAATAAAATTTTACAGAATAGATCAACAAAATAATAAAAATTATAATAAAAAAAAATAATAATAATAGTAATGATAATAATAAAAATAATAATAATAATTATCGTTTAATTATTATGTGATTTAAAAATCAGTAGTGTAAAAAAATGTAAAAATAAAAGTAAAAATTTGTTCTTTCTTTATTACAAGTAATTAATGTCAGTTTCAGCCAGAGGAAAAGTTGAGAGAATTCATGTAATTTATATTGCAGTAGTAAAAGTAAGTTTTAGTCAGACTTTAAGAATCTCAGTAGTAAAACATAGTTTCAATCAACCAAAATGTGAAAATTATTCTAATTTTCATATCAGTAGAGAATGATAGTTTAAGTCAGACGAAATGTTCTAAATTCTTGACTTTTTTTATTTTGTACTTTTTTTTCTCAGTAGTAAAAATAACATTTGTAATCACGCAAAATAGTTTGAAAATATGTCTTTTTAAAAAATCACTAACTAAAATGATTTCTAGTCAAACTTTATTTTTTGAATTTCTTTTCCTTTTGAATTTAGTAGCAAGAGGCAAAAATAATAAATAGCAAAAAAAATTATTGAATTTTAAATCGTGATTTTAAATTAGTAGTAAAAGAGTATTTTCGTCAGACAAGGAAAGTATTAAAAAAATTTCTACTTGCCACGTCAGCAATAAAAGACAATTAAAATTTTTAAAAAATTCCCCGGAAAGTGCCCCCTGGAGGTTCTATCAGAATTCCATCGGAATTCCATCGGATTTCCAAAGAATTTCCGATGGGATTCCGACGAAATTCTAACGGAATTCCGATTAATTTTTTTCAAAATTTTTAGAGTCCTAATTCCGTCGGAATTCCGTCGGAAGTCCCGGCGGAATTCTGATACAACCTCCAGGGGGCACTTTCCGGGGAATCTTTCCAAGAAGTTCGTATTATTTATTTATGTATAAAAAATATTAGTAAATGTTAATTTTAGTCAGATGTTACATTTCACTTTGTTCTAAGTAGTAAACTATTGTTTCAATCAGATGAAAACTAAAAATTATTTTTATTTTTACATTACTAGAAAAAGACAATTTTATATAGTCAGACTAAATTTCAGTAGCTTCTATCTCAGAAGTAAGGGACATTTTTAATAAGACAATTTTTTTTTGTAAATTATAATTGTTAGCAGTAAATATAGTTTTTAGTCAGACAAAACTTAATTTAATGGCAGTATTTGATAAACGATTTTCTAATGATAGAAAATAAAATGTAAAAGTAATTTACTGAATGTAGATATTATTAAAAATGATTTTTAATTAATAATTGTTTTTTAATCGATGGTACTTAAAGTTGTTTTTGGGGACAATATAACGAGGACTAATTTATTCATCGTTGGTCGTTGGGGGAGATTATGAAAGTGCACACTGTCATTCGGTCTAGTGCAAAATGTGCTTAACATGCATGAGGTTTAAATTGCTTGAAACCTGTTTCAGCTTTAATTCTCTCTTCGCGTTCGATTGAGCTCGAACGAAGCCCTCAATGTGCCTGCGTGACGGACTTGCTTCCGCCTTTTCGAATATTTCCTGTAGCTTTAAAATTTCCTAGTATATATATATATATACATATTGGAGTGGTCCAAAAAAAATTTTGATTCTTTTGCTCTGACCCCCAAAAATTTGTTGTAAATTGAAAAAAAATATCCTTTTTTTTTTGAAATCAGATTCAAAAAATTAAAAAAAAAAACCTTCCACTGATTCTAATTTTCATTTAAATTTTCACTTTTACTTACACATTCTTTTCCACTGATTCTTATATTCTCTCATATTTTCATTTTCATTTCATCACTTTCACTGATTAGAAATGAGTAAAAGTGGAAATGAAATTAAAAGTGAAAATTAGAATCAGTGAAAGTGATAATGAAAGTCTGAATAAAACTCTGAGTCAGTAAAAGTGTAAGTGTAAATGAAAATGAAATCACATAATCATATTCCCTGATTTAAAAAAAAATACGCATTTTTTTACTTTGGAGAAAATTGGTGGTGTCATTAAAAAAAAAAAAAGTAAAAAACATCAACAATCTTTTTGTATTGTTTTGAAAACTTTCTCATGTCGCATCCTCGTAACTTTTTCCTCAGGCAATGTCTAAGAAGCTTAACGCAATCATAAATTTTAATTTTCAATTTCGCACGGGATGTCCTGTTTCCCCAAGTTTTCACCAATATACCGACCTATTTTATGCTTCGCCTTTACTTTTCCTTCGGTTTGAAAATTGCTGGTGTTATAAATTGCCAAGAAATCCTTAGGTTTTGATTAAATAATAATTTTTTTTTCTCTCACTCTCACAATTTTCTTATACTTTTTTAATTCGGAGATTACTCATTTTATGAAGAATAAAAAAAAAATTTAAATATAATTTAACTCATATAGTTTTTAGTTTAAAGAATTTAAAAAAAAATTCCATAGGTAAAAATTTACTTTTACTACTAAAATCTAGTTTAAACAAATTTTCTAAATGTTTTGTCTGTTTACAATATTGTCTTTCTCTACTGATATCGAAATAAAAATAATATTTATTATTTGTTTGATTGAAATTATATTTTACTACTGATACAAAAATGAAAAGATATCCCAAAGGTCTCAACGGTCTCAGTTCTTAATAGTCTCAAGCCTTAATAGTTTTAAGCGGCAACAGTCTCAATGGTTTAAAATCTTAATTGACTCAAGAGTCGGTTTCCTCGGTAGTTTTAAATATTAACTGTTTTAAGTCTGAATAGTTTCATGTCTCAATATTCTTAAGTCTCAACTATCTCAACTACCTAAATAGTCTCAAGTCTCACTAGTCTCAACTACCTAAATAGTCTCAACTACCTAAATACTCTCAAGTCTCAGTAGTTTCAAGTCTCAATAGTCTCAAGAATCAAATCTCAAAAGTCTCAATAGTCTCAATTACCTAAATACTCTCAAGTCTCATTAGTCTCAACTACCTAAATAGTCTCAACTATCTCAATAGTCTCAACTACCTAAATACTCTCAAGTCTCAGTAGTTTCAAGTCTCAATAGTCTCAACTACATAAATAGTCTCAACCATCTCAATAGTCTCAACTACCTAAATACTCTTAAGTCTCATTAGTCTCAACTACAAAATAGTCTCAACTATCTCAATAGACTCAACTACCTAAATACTCTCAAGTCTCACTAGTCTGAAGTCTCAAAAGTCTCAACTACCTAAATAGTCTCAAGTCTCAGTAGAATCAAGTCTCAATAGTCTCAAGAATCAAATCTCAAAAGTCTCAAGTCTCAATAGTCTCAACTACCTAAATAGTCTTAAGTCTCAATAATATCAAATCTCAATAATCTCAAGTCTCAATAGTTTCGGTCCTTGGTTACGAAAACCTAAAGATTTAAAACGATATGAACAAGTTTTTCTGTTTATATATAGCTTTTATCTGAGGCATTGGAAAAATCGGCGACTCATTTCAAGCAAGTGAAGGCGAGTGAACACAGCAGATAATTGGTTCTATTATTGATAAGGATTCCTAGGGTTGGAATAAAACTGGTTTAATCG